AATGGAATTCGAGCTAGATTGAGCCTTCGCAGCTGATTCATGCATAGATTGAGTACCGGATTGATTTCGATTGATAGGAATAGATCGAGAAGCTCCGTGAATCGGAGATCGATGAGTCAGAGTAACAATCGGCGACTGCGAAGCCGGTGAAGTGGTGCGATTATGGTTTCGAACACCGCGTTTCACCATGATAACGAAAATCGAAGAAAATGAGGAGGAATTGAAGAGAAATCGATGAATGAATGAAGAAGAAACAGCAAAATCGATGAAGAATCAATCGATTGTGAAGAAGAAAGCAGAAGAAAAAAAGTTTGTTGAGCTAACCTGGCTCTGATACCATCTTAGAAACAAACTTGTAAATAAATATCTTCTTCATTAATTGTGAAAATCTATACAAGGATGAGTATTTATACAGGGGAATTAATAAAGCTAACAATAAGATTAACGAAGCTATTAACCGGAGTTCAACTGGATAAAACCATGAACTAAACCACACTAACCCACTATATCTAAAAAGAATTTTTATATATCTATCAAACTAATTTCATATCGAAATCTAAATATTCCACCATGATTATTGTGAATCTCGCTTCACCTAAGATAAACATAAAATAATTGAGATATTTAGTAAAGGAAAACGTCACTTGTCGACGCGAACTAGCTATAGTCGGTCGAGTTCTTTTGAGGAAAACACTAATTACCTCATGGACCAATATGATAAATCTCTTAAGGTTTTTTATCTTTTGTTTTATGGAGGAAATCATCATTCATTCAATTTGTTTTTTTGGCTAGTTAAAAATTACTAACTTGATTTGGATGGGGTCATGTTAGGATCTTAAACTCGAATCACACTTATAACAAGTTGATTCTTCACATATCAAACACAAGTATGAAAGTAAACTAACACCAAGATTTAGCAAGTTTCCCTCCGCAAATACATTTCGTTTGAAAAGATTTTTCCATTAAAATTCACTATAGCAAAAAAAAAGACAACAAAGAAGGAAAAAGATTATAAAAAATATATATATATCTCGCGAAAACATGATTAGAACTTAGACCATGTTCAACGACAGTTTTTTTATTAAGGATCTTAGTATTAAGAAAATGAAATAAATGAAAAAAGAGGAAAAAGATGATAGTCTCCCAAAAGGGAAACCGTAGAAATAGTATCAGAAATTCATATAGTACTTGTCATATTTTAATTGGTTTAAAGTTTTTATATAATTAAATAATTTAATTATAATAAAAATATTAGTATTAAATTAAGTAGATATCCTCTTAAGAAACTAGTGCCATGGAGATGCTCTTAGGTTTGGCTAAGTTTCTTCTCTTCCAATCTCTCTATATACTCTCTCTACTCTTGTCTCTGTTGTGTTACTTTGGTTTTTCTTCCCCTTGAAATATCTTGCCTTAATAAATGATTTCAACGTGGGTGTAAAAGGATCTCAATTTCCTTTTTCTTAGGTGGCCTAGGTGGGCAAAAATACCAAACCGAACTGAACCGTACAGTAATTAGGTATTTCAATTCGATTTCGGTTTTATCGATCATTCTGTTTGGATGACATTTTAAATCTACTTCGGTTTCGGTTTGGTTTTGGTTTAAAACCGTAAAACCACTCAGGTTTTCGATTTTTTCAAAAAAAAAGAATTATTATTACTAGTTTAAGAAATCTTAGTTAGATACTAACTTGCTAATTAGATGAATACTAGCAAAA